ATTTATTCGAAGGGCCAGACTACCTGTTTCCTCTTCGAGTTGTGAAAACACCTCTCTCACGAATCTTTAAAATAAGCGATTACATCTAGATCATCAGCAAAGGCCAACACTGGTTTTGATCCTCGATTCACAAATCCCTCTGTCAGCTCAGACGTTATTATATTTATTGCATATTTTAAGGCCAAATTGAATAGCAACGGTGATAAGGGGTCTTCTTGCCAAGTTGTGATGTTATACTAAATGGCGTCGATGTTCTGTTCCCTATCTTTACCTGTGCATATGAGTCTGTCACGCACATTTTAGTTAGCTTCACTCTTTGGTATAACATTTCTAACTTTTATCAAATCATATGTTTGCTGGAAATCTATGAAAATTTGGTATACATCTCGGTTGAATTCCCAGTTTTACTATAATATTTGTCGGATAGTAAATATTTGATCTATTGTTGACCTTCCAGCACAGAAAATCTGAAAGCTGCATAGAATATCTTCCAAATACGGAGTTGAGCCTCTTTGGCAAGATATTAAAACTTTATATACTGTATTAATAAGCGATATGCCTCTATAGTTTCGAAATTGTTTTTCTTTCTCCTTCTTATGTATGGGTATTATACTGCTTCCATTCCATTCCCTAGTCATTTTCTGTTGTTTCCATACTCTCAAAATAATGTGAAATTTTTGATGTAAAATCTTTCCTCCTCTTTTATCAATTTTGCATTTATAAAATCATTTCCTGGCGCTTTGTGATTTTTAAGAGATGCTATCACATTCTTTGCTTCGTGAAGTGTTGGTGTCGGTTATTTCAATCTTTGTTGTGCTATTTGCGATTTTGTCTGGTCATCTTTTCTTTTCTGGTTTTGTCAAAGAATATATTGGTTATATACAGGGTGTTTTCTTTTGCATAATTTACTAATATTTCTCCTGTTATTTCTTTCTCCTAATCCATATGGATCTATCAAGATTTCATTTTAGGTTTCTTCTTTCCCTATTTTTGCATTGAAATGATTGTCTCGCCTTCAAGTAACCCTGCGCCACCTACTGCTTGATTTTCATCTCCTTTGTAGAATAGTTGGTGATGTGCCTTTTTAGTTCGATACATTGCTCTCGTTTTCGTCGTACTTTTGTCAGTTCTATCACTGTCCATTTCATTTTCTAAATTACTTCTTCTACATCTAGCAGTTCTTGGTATCCGTATGTTAAATGTAGCTATGAACCACTCAGTTGTGTGATATTTTATATTGTTGCTTTTGGAATTTCCGTCCCACCAGAATCCATGGCACTGTCTGAAGTGTCAGTGCGAGATTCTGAGATACTCTTTATTCCACTTTGGTAATTCGTTTCGGATTTCCGATATTTTGTAGTTGTTTTAGCCTAACCTTGACACACTAGCCAGACGAGTTGTCAAATACCTTTTGTTCCGCAGAAGGTATTTTGAGACACGCTCCTAGGGGTCACTGATTCTCATAAAATGTACTATAGCTTTGTTGCTCTATTATACTTTTTATACCATATATCTTCTTCTTATGATGCCCTATCTAATTAGTGGATGTTGGCGACAATTCTGGAATACTCCTCTCGATCTTGTGTGGCTCTAAAAAGTGCATGGGCATCGAGATTTGTCCAATCCCTTATGTTTTTAAGCCATGAGTATTTCTTTCTTCCGATGCCTCGTTTTCCTTCTATCTTCCCTTCCATAATAAGCTTTAAGAACTGGTACTTGGAATTTCGAAATATATGACCCAGATAAGCAGTTTTTCTTCTTTTTATTATTGGCAGCAATTCTCGTTCTCTGCCCATTCTATTTAATACTTCGACATTTGTTGTGTGATCTGTCCAGGGAATTTTAAGTAGTCTTCTAAATACCCACATTTCAAAGGCCTCTAATCGGTTCATCACATTGGCCTTTATGGTCCAGGTTTCTACACCATATAGCAGTATGGAGTAAATGTAACATTTTACAAAGCGATATCGAAGCATTAAGTTGAGGCTGCTGTTGCTTAGCAAGGTTCTCATATTAGTAAATGCTGTTCTGGCTTGCTCAATCCTGCTACGTATCTCTATGTCTGGATCTAGATCTTCAGTTATCCAACTACCGAGATATCTGAACTTGGGGACCTTTTGGATGTTCTTGTTGTTTACTCTTATATTCAATTGCATATTTCGTGTTCTACTAACCACCATTACCTTCGTCTTGTCTATATTAATCTTCAAGCCCACTCGTTCTCCTTCAGTGTTTATTCTATCTATTAGTCGTTGTAGCGCTTCTTGGCTATCAGCTATTATGACTGTATCATCAGCATAGCGAAGATTACTAATAGTCTGTCCGTTGATTTTGATTCCATCTTCAGTGTCACTTAAGGCTCTATCGAAAATCGTTTCAGAGTAAAGATTAAAAAGGAGGGGTGACAGAACACAACCCTGTCGTACACCTTTTTCGATTGAGAAACATGATGTAGATTCCAGTCCTACTCTCACAGATGCCACTTGATTCATATAAAGGTTCTTTATGATTTTAAGGTCATTCTCATCTATCGAACGTTCCTGGAGCAATCTTATTAATTCTGAATGATTAACACAATCGAATGCTTTCTGGTAATCTATAAAGCATAGGAAGACATCTTTTTGCTGATCTCTGCATTTCTGAAGTAGGACAGTTAAGCTATAAAGTGCTTCTCTTGTGCCAAATCCTTGTCTGAAACCGAACTGTGTGGGGCTAATGTCTCTTTCACATCTGTTGTATATTCTTGTGTGAATTATCTTTAAGAAGAGTTTTAGGACCTGACTCAATAAGCTGATCATTCGGAATTGGTCGCAGCTATTAGCGTTTGGCTTTTTTGGGATTGGTATAAAGGTTGATTGAAGCCAGTCCTGTGGTATTTGACCGGACCCATAAATGTCATTAAAAAGATCTACCAAGGTGTCTAAATTGTCTTCACTCAACATTGTTAGAACCTCTATGTATATGTCGTCTGGGCCTGGTGCTTTTCCCATTTGCTCTGTTTGATTGCCCTTACAACTTCTGACTTCAATATTTTGGGGGAGGGTTCACTTTTATACTCACTTTCAGAGTTTCTTCTAGTTGTGTCTGCGTATAGTTGCTGTGTGTAGTTTCTCCAATGTTGAAGTAGATCTTTGGGATCAGTAATTAATTTATTGTCCTTCACAATACTGTTAAAACTGCAAGGTTTTGTATGACCTGTCACTTCTTTAATAGTTTATGTATGTTAAAGTGGTCATGTTTTTCTTCCAATTCCTCCATTTCTGCACACCTGTCTAGCAGCCACTGTTCTTTAGCTTTGCGACACTCTTTTTGTATTTGTCGGTTGATCTGCTGATGTTTGGTTCGGTCTTTGTTTTTAAATGATCTGCGGTCGTCCATCATTGATAATATTTCGTCAGTCATCCAATTCTTCTTTTTGTACTTTTGGGAAGCGATCAGAGACTTGGTGGTGGTTACGATAGCTGTTTTAATACAATTCCATTTGTCTTCTATACTGGCCGGTTGTTTAGATCTTGTCGTGATATCCGTTATTGCCTCATTTAATCTTTCTGTGATTTCTTAGGTTGTTTTTTAAGCTTTAATTTTCTTCTACTACGGGATTGTGATCAGATCCGATATCTGTTCCAGGGTACGTTTTTACTCCTTGCAATCCATTTCTGTATCTCTGATTAATCAATAAAAAATCAATTTGATTTCTTACGATGTTGTCATGCGTATGTTGTGGAGACTGCCAGGTGTAGAGTCTCCGAGGTGGCAGTTTGTACCAGGTATTCGCAATGACTAATTTTTCTTCTTGACAGAACTGGATTAGCATATCACCTCTCTCGTTTCGATCTCCCAAACCAAAGTCACCCACGACATCTTTAACACGTCCTCGCCCTACCTTCGCATTGAAATCTCCCATGATTATAAGAGTCTGGTTCTTCTTGATCAGTTTCATTAACTCCTTATCTCTCTGTTACAATGGTTTTTACTCATTTTCAGTTTGTCAGGTGTACAATTGTTTTACTTCATTTTCAGGCTTGTCCAAGGTTGGTGCATAGATTTGTATAATGTTAAGGTCAACAGGATCGGCTTGGACTTGTAGTAGTGCTGCCCTATCTGAGTATGCCACGAAATTCCTTACTGATTTGTTTGAGGCTGTGTTAACTAAAAATCCAACTCCGTTATAATGATGGGGTACGTTATTTCCTGAGTAATATAGTGTCGCTTTTTCTTTAGTACATTTACCACTGTTAGGCCATCTGATTTCGCTAAGTCCTATGATGTCTAGGTCGCATCGTTCCATTTCTTGTATTATGTTGTCTAGTTTACCGGCGGTATAAAGACTTTTAACGTTCCAAGTACCCAGTTTTAGCTTTGGGGTTTTTTCCACTTTCGGGTGGTTCCTAGCATTGTTTTTCTTCGCGGAGATTCTTAGCACCCTTGGCCACTTAAGGCCTGCCACGGACTAGGGGCCGTTACTTGCAATGTCTTTTCCATCCTTGTCTTTCTTGGGATATCCTTGGGGACCTTTAATACGGTGGTTTCCCATTGCCTTCCGTATTCTTATGCCGTTGACATTCTTTGTTCATCCGCCTTTTAGAGGCAGTTTCCCACCCTAAGGACAAAAGAGTGCCCTATCTCACGTATGCTCCTCCGCCCTCTATCCAGAGACCGTTGGCAAGGTGAGTGGAATCGCTTATACCGGCGATAGTTCGGTGAAAATTGACTTTATATTAGCCCTAAAATCTGGGGTCGCCACTTCCGCCATTCTCGTCGTACCGAAGGTATTCTTCTCCGCCGTGATTGCCGTTGTGGTCTTCATCGGTAACCCTGGACAAGGGACCCTAAACAGGTACTAGTTCCCCGGGTCAGGGATCACCTGGAATCTGTGGAGGGCAGGGACTGATTCATTTTCCCTGATAGGACCATATATACATGACTTTTTTTCTAGTATAGGAACAGGATTTTAATGACAATAAGGTAAATTTGATGTGGGATAAAAAGAAACAAACCTGTCGAATTATCGTAATAGTTATAATAATGTATACTCACAATACACAGTATTTTTTATATGTACAAAATTTACAGTATTATATAGACATCACAATGTTCCCTATATTATCATTTATCAACGCAAACTAAACTTATTACTTACAGCTAAAAAATACACTGTACAGAACTGATGACAAAATCAAAAAAGAAAAGCTCTTTAACTAAAAACTAGATATTCACATATATTTTACACTTTAATTTAAAAAATGATTGGTTTTGTTATGCTACATATGTATATATTATGTCTATATATTTTTTTCAATATTTATAATAGCCATATTTCAAAACTACAGAGTGGGTAACGTGTGAATTGAATTATTTACATCTTTAAAGCAGCAGCTTTGAAAAGGGGCTGAGGAACTCCGAGGGAAACTATTCGCCAATACCCACACCGTACAGAATTTTCTAAGATCAACTCGAGCTAGATATTGAACGTCGTTTTTAACTAAATATCTTATTTATTTGTTTTTTAACAATAAACAGTTATCTAGATATGATTGCAGATACATTAAAGTTCAACAGAGAAGTTGGAAAATATATTTGAAACTAAAACAATACTTATTTTATAAAAAAAAATAACTAAATAAGGTATTGTTTCCCAAATACTCACAAAATGCGATAAAAAATCTAATATTTTTAATATTCCAAAATTTATAAAGCTTTTTATTGATGAGTGAATAGGTTTAGTAGAGTAGTCTTAGTTGGATGTTGAAACATAAACGTCTAAGATTTTTAATTAATTGTAAGAATGGGTGGAATCATTTTGTGTTCGAATAATCTCTTGTGCTCTATTAGATGTTTTCCAAAAATTCTCGCTGATTGCCAGAGGAAAAAATAATTTCCATATTTCTATCGGACAAACACAGAGATTAGAAAAACCACGTGCAAAAGGTTATTTTTACAGAAAATAGGCTCCGAATATGCGCGTTACATTTTGAAAAACAAGCATCCTTTGGACTTTTGAATCTCAAAATCTAAAGGCATTCAAAGTTCATTTGGTACAGTTCATGGAAATCCATAAAAAACCACACAATTCTTTCTCAAAATGGAAATACGAAATACATTAATACAAGAAAATATATGAAAATAAGTATATTTGAGATTGTATAATATAGAGAGGAATGTAATAAAAATTAACCTGCACCAAAAAATATAAATTAAATTGGTTTATAAACAACATGAAGTAAAAATGAAATACAAACAATACATTCACAAAAAAAAATGTAGAAGAGAAAAAGATGCACATTTTATTACTATAATTCTTTTTGTGATGCCACAAACTGTTTTGGCATTTATGTATATAGCAATTATTTTACAGATATTTTATTTTTTGATTGTTTGCACACTGCGGTCAAGAATTTTAAAGTATAAGTTCGCAAGAAAAGATAATAGATATATTGGAAAGTGTAAACACAAAAAAGATATTACAGTGAATGTCAAAGAGCTAAAAAATAGGCTACACATGAGCTTAAAATGAAGGGAAAGATTGGTTATAAATTGTTTCATAAATAAATATAACGATTTAACACGCCAACAAATAAATCAACATAAAACAATAATTAACTGATATTTTTATGTCAAAACACTGGGAGAGGAAAGATACTATTGCAGGAATTGAATAATACATGAAAGTATTGAAGGAAAAAAGTTATAGTACCAGAAAATTAAACATTAAGAGCAGAATATCTCATACATTTTAAAATAAAAAGAACATTTCAATTCAATAAAACTGTTTAGTGAAAAAGAACGAAAAAATATTCACTCAATTATCTTATTAAATACATATATCTCCCACAACACACTCCTTTCGTTGTGTAGAACATACTAGTCAACAATATACCTATATATAAGAACAACAATACACTAACTTACACAGTTGATCTTAGAAGGTTGTGTACTAAACGGAAATCAAAATATTAACAAAAAACTAAATAAACCTCCATTCTCTAAAAACAGGAGGGGGTGAAGGTAGTGATGAATACAAAAGTAAATAAAAAGAAAATATGCGCTTAGTGTTGTACACAGTGAATTAACAATGGTTTTGAATCCATATCAGAAACTTTACTGGTTTACTTGACGTGACGTAATAATGTCTATATTTGACATATGGATTTATGCCATATGTCAAATACCATAAGCCATCATTATCGAGAAAATTGTTGTATTAAAGATTTACTTATCACAAAAGATTCAGTTCATTATGCATTAAAATTGTTGAAAAATAATTACCAACGGCAAACATATAGTGGTATGTTAAGAGGAGAAACAGATGAACAGAATAGGTAACAAATTTGCAAAATATGCTGAAAACCAGATAGCATAGACTGAAAGACCTTCCAAGCACGCTAACTGAAGAATAATACCAAAATTAGAACGATATTAGAAATCAAAGAGCAAGGTATAATTAACAAATATGATGAATTATAAAACCTAGAAAGAATTTTTTGGAACAGCCGCGTCTGGAATAGAATCAGAACAAAAATTTGCAAAATACAAATAACAAGATGTCGAAGTTTTTAAAAATTAAGAATAGCTAAGGAAACAAAAAAATAATTAAAACAGAACAGAGCAAAAGTAACGAATCTGAAAAATTGAGGCTCTAAAAAGTTGACAACAACAATAGCAACCAGAACATTTGTTATCACATTAATAGTTACATATTTCTAAAACAGCACTGTCATTTGTCACAAATTTAAACATTTACAAAAAAAAATTAAACGTACAAAGTATCTGAAGAACATAAATGGAAAAAGGGGTAACAAGAGGTTTAAATCCAACAGGCATATTTATTCTGACAGTGGATTGTCAAATATTACTGAGATATATTAGCAAGAATGATCGTTTGTAATTATTAATCGAACCGGCTGTAATAAAACTTGTGTGAGTATTCTGACATGGATAAAAAAGTATATGAAACACTGTATATCTATAATAAATAAAAAGCAAACAAAAAGTAATATGTAGTATACAGCCCCTCTTCAAAGTCGGCGAACTAAAATTAAAAAAAAAACATTCTAAAACACGTGTATAACTTACGTGATATCTTTGCAAATATTGCAAGGATATCGCGTAAAAAAACAAACAAATTTACAAGATATTTATGAAAATAAGGATCTTCTAAATAAAGACATATTTCTTTTATAATAACTAAGTTCAATATGAGATCTCTTAGATAGGTAGTAAGTTATTTTTAGCTTTTTTTTGTATATTTTTTTTTCATATATTTTTTAATAATAGTAATAACGTTTTTTTTTTCAGAAATCACAGTGAAATATTTTAAGTATATTTAAAAAATCCTTTTGGGACATAGCTTCTTCGTGTTGTAACGAGATTTTAACGGTTGAGAAAAGAAAAAGTCAAAATTGTTAGGTTAGATTAGGTTAAGTTCATTACAAGTAACGATCGTCATTTTTTTGTTTTGTTGTTTCAATAGCAGAGAGAGTAATAATCTTCCAGTGATCACACCGTAGTTATAACGATGAGAAGGTGAGCTATATCGGCCACTCTTTCCAGTAGACTTGGCGCGATACGTCGCAGATTCTCATTGACGAAATCACAGGACGGGAAGATGTGTACGACATACGCAGGCTAAAAAATAAAAAAGTATGTTAAAAACATGGTAAACTCTCTGTTCAAGATTTAAATTTAATAATAACTACACTTGTTAAGGTATATCTATTATATTGAAATGTACTGTAAATCGAACTATGAGGCCTACAGTTGCACTACTTTTGCTTTGAAATATTTAGATTACCACCGACTTCATTGATTTGTCAGATTCACTTTTATAACTTACAAGAGGTATTTTACGGATTTTTAGGTAGTAAAATATTTTGTCAGGGGGTAAAGGGGTAGAATGCGAAATCATGGAGTTGCTTCCAGTTTACTCCACTTAGCCTCTTCTACTCAAATCCGACTCTCACCTTCACGCTGGTGCCCCCTGTTAAACCAAGCAACCCAACTGGAGATCCGGGTGGAAAGTTGGGTCGGAAACCGACGAGAGCGGGTGATAGTCGAGGTATTAACTACGCCCAACCCCCAGGTTGCACGTTGCAAAAAACAGCACGTTACGAGAATTCAAGGTAAAGTTTCCGGACTGAAATCTAGACGACGACTCGGCGCGAAAAAGGACAATGATTTAAGATTATTCTCGTGGAATGTAAGATCTCTATACAGGCCAGGAGCCTTGCAGTCTCTCATTAATAGTGTAGAAGTATATAAGAGCGATATAATTGCACTTAAGGAAATGAGATGGTTGGGAAATAAAATATTAGAGAAAAAGAATTCTACGATATATTATAGCTGCCATCCAACGGAACACAAACTAGGAACGGGATTCATAGTCAATAAAAGAGTAAAGCACCTTATAATAGACTTCCAACCTCTCAACGAAAGATTATGCACACTAAGAATCAGAGGTAAATTCTTTAAATATTCAATAATAAATGCCCATGCACCAACTGAGGAGAAGCCGGATGAAGAAAAAGAACAATTTTATGAACAACTGGAAAATATTATACAACATTGTCCTAGAAATGACGTAAAGGTCTTAATAGGAGATTTTAATGCAAAGATAGGTAAGGAGAGGGAATACATGCCAACCATTGGAATTCACAGTTTACATGAAGAGTCAAACAACAACAGAACTCGACTAATACACTTAGCCTCCTCAATGAACATGGTGATTGCCAGCACATGCTTCATGCACAAAGATATACATAAGGGAACATGGAGAAGTCCAGATGGGAATACAGTAAACCAAATCGACCATGTTGTGGTTGACGCAAGACACTTCAGCGACGTGATAGCGTTTGAAGAACCCTGAGATAGCTAAGATATTCGAGGAAAGTCTCGAAAGCAAGCTGGAAGGCTGCACGGATGTTATAGTTGAAGATATTAACAACTATTGGAGGCAGTGTAGAGCCATATTGGAAGAAGTGGCAACTGAAATTATCGTAAAGCAAAAACGTAAAAACTTAAGGTCAGACTGGTACGATGAGGAATGAGCACAGGCAACGCGCAAAGAAAACATCAGGCATATAGAAGACTTCAAGGGCGAAGAACGAGAGAAACAAAGGAAGAGTATAGGCAGCTGAGACGAGAAGAAAAACGAATACTTAAAAAGAAAGAAAGAGAGCTAACTTAAAGAACTAGAGAACCGAATAGGAAACAATTCAAACCTAGATTATCAATCGTTAGAAATAGAACAGGGGGAGATCATTGGTGATCAGGACCAGATACTAGAAAGGTGGGCAGAAAACTTCTAGGAAAGGCTAAATATAAGAAGTGAGACAGGGACTACGAATCAGAAATCCAATTCGAGGACATTGACGATGAAAGAGAGAAAGATAACATCCCAACAGAGGTAGAAGTCATCCAAGCTATACATAAATTGAAAGAAAACAAAGCTCCTGGGGCAGATGGCATTCCTTCAGAACTTTTAAAGCATGGCAAAAAACCTGACATACTGTATATGTAGACTGGTAGAACTGATCTGGAAGCAAATAAAGTTGCCAGAAGACTGGAATGTAGGTATAATTGTACCTATACACAAGAAAGGAGATCAAACAATATGTGACAACTACAGAGGAATAACCCTCCTAAACGTAACATACAAAATATTGGCATATTTTCTTTACGACCGACTATCGGGATATTGTGAAGACATAATAGGTAAATATCAGTGTGGGTTTCGTAAAGAAAGATCAACGACCGATCAAATATTCCTTCTAAGGCAAGCTCTGGAAAAAACATACGAGTATGGCATTGATACTCATCACCTGTTTGTTGATTTTAGATGTGCCTATGACAGTGTGGAAAAAAACGCACTGTACAAGGCCATGATAGAATTCAGCATCCCAGTACACTTAGTAAAATTGGTGAAAGCGACCCTCTCAAGAGTCGAGTGTAAAGTTAGAGTGCAGAACATTCCAGTCTCAGATAGGACTTAGACAAGGAGACAGCCTATCATGCCTTCTATTCAATATTGCACTAGAGAAAGCGATAAGAGAATCTGGAATAACAACCAGAGGAACTATTATTAATCGCAGCGTACAATTACTAGCGTACGCCGATGACATCGACATTATTGCAAGAAGAAAGGCGGACGTGGTCGAATCATTCAAGGCGCTTGAAGCAGCAACAAAAAGAATGGGACTAGAGGTTTAACACTAGTAAGACGAAGTATATGAAAGTATCAAATTATATACAAGCAGCACAACCCGAAGATCTAACGATCGGAACATATACTTTCGAAGGAGTCTTCTTCTTGTAGTGCCTATCCGTTTCGGATGTTGGCGACCATCATGGCAATCTGCACTTTGCACACTGCTGCTCTAAAAAGATTTGTGGTTGTTGTGTTGAACCACGTTCGTAGATTTTTCAGCCAGGAAATCCTTCGCCTTCCTGGTCCCCGTTTTCCTTCTACTTTTCCCTGCAAGATTAGTTGCAGCAGTCCATATCTTTCGCTGTTCCTCATGATGTGACCGAGGTATTCGATTTTGGCTGTTTTTATTGTGGTTAACAGCTCTTTTTCTTTTTTCATTCTCAACAGAACACCCTCATTAGTAACGTGGTCGGTATACGATATCTTCAGGATGCGACGATAAAGCCACATTTCAAAAGCCTCAATTTTCTTGCAGGTGGCGTCTGTGAGAGTCCATGACTCAACTCCGTACAACAGTATAGGAAAGATGTAACATCGTAGTAACCTGATTTTTATGGGCATTGATAAATCATGACATTTGAATAACTTAGCCATTTTTTGAAATGCAGATCTTGCTTTCTCTATTCTACATTTGATTTCTATGGAATGGTCCCAATTTTCATTGACGTTCGTACCAAGGTAGGTGTATGTTTTTACTCTTTCTATTTGTTGACCGTTTACACTGATTTGTCCAAATTGCTGTTCCTTCTTAGAGATCATCATGCATTTTGTTTTCTTAGTGTTTAGTGAAAGTCCGTATCTCTGACTGACCTCTGTGATTCTGTTCATTAACTCCTGGAGGGTTTCAGAACTGTCAGCGAATACTACCGTGTCGTCCGCGTATCTAATGTTATTGATAGATTCTCCGTTGATTCGAATTCCGGCTTCAACATCACCCACTGCTTCTTGAAAGATTTCCTCAGAGTATATGTTAAACAACAGTGGTGATAGTATACATCCCTGACGGACGCCACGTTTGATTTTGATATCGTCGGATTCTCCTGCCTCTGTCCGGATAGATGATGTTTGATTCCAGTACAGATTGCTGACAATTCTTAAATCACAGGTGTTTATTCCAATATTGGTTAATATCTCCATCAGCTTGTCGTGCTTTACTGTATCGAACGCTTTATGGTAGTCAATGAAGCACGCATAAATGTCGCAGTTCACGTCGAAGGTGTTTACATATCTAGGCTCACAAATTAATCAGAATAATGCAGTAGTGCAGAAATTAACAGACAGATATATCTGGCAAATAGAACCTATTATGGATTAAAAAAATTTTTAACAACAAGCCTAGTTACAAAAAAAACGAAACTAGTGATATACAGAACTCTTATCAAGCCCATCCTCACCTACGCGTCGGAAGCATGGACGATGACAAAGAGCGATGAAGAACGTTTAAGATGCTTTGAACGTAAAATCCTCCGGCATATTTATGGAGGAGTACAGGAGGGCGGATCATTAGGGTGGATGAGTACAAGAGGGCGTAGACGGTATAATTTCGAACTTTGCCGCCTGTATGAGAAACCTGATATTATTAGGTCTATCAAAATAAACCGGCTGCGGTGGTTAGGTCACATAGAGCGAATGAATGAGATGGAGCCGCCAAAATATACTTATAACCAAAGAATAGATGGAGTGAGAAGAAGTAGACCCAGAGCACTATTTAAGGATCAGGTGGAGGAAGACTTGAGAATGTTGGGAGTACGAAACTGGAAAGCTAAGGTGAAGAATAGGAGAGAATTGAGACTTTTCCTTGAGCAGGCCAAGACCCACCATGGGTTGTGGAGCCAATGATGATGATGATGAATATTTTGTCAAAAAATAAAAACAAGTGAACACATAGTAAAGTACTTACCGGTTGAGTAGTACCGGGTGCAGCGACGTTGACAATTCCGGCTGCCTGCTTCAGTTGTAGATAGGTTATAAAACCGCTAGTTAGGTTAGTAGACTGTTTAAGTACATCCATATGGTCGTGTCCGCACGGTAGTGCTAGTAACATGCAGTGTTCGTTCTCCATCTAAAATAAATCAAACAATTATTAAACAACAATTATTAATACAAACAAATTAGTTAACAACAATTAAAATTAAATAAAACGTGGAACACTAAACACCTTTCACTATCACATTTTTTTCTTTGGTTTTGAATATATATGAACAACTAGAAACTTCGCTCCATCTTTTCATGCGGGGTCCTACACTTCTTCCTTTCGGTTTGTAATTTAGTATCTGTCTAGTGAGTCGATTTTCATCTATTCGATTTAATGTCTCATTTCATCATCGTGAATTCTAGAGTTATCATTTCTTTGCTTCATTACCAGCTTTTACATCCATAAAACAGAGTAGGCCATTGCATTATAAAGTTTGTAGTCTTGGTTTTCAATGTTCTGTGAATTATACCGGATAGGGTATGAAACCTCTCAATTTTGTGATCAGTGTCTGTGTTTTTCTTAAGACACTCTTAACACTCTTGGCAATTCAAATGACTCACTTGTTCTAGTGGATGATTGGCAATTACCCTTTTTGTTCTTATGGAGTATTATTTCCCTTCATAGCAATAACTCTCGTGTTTTTGTCGATATTTTCATACTGAAATTTTTACACACCTATAGTTTTGCAGATGGCTTTTTGCAGCTTATTTTTAGAATTTTGGATTGTTAGCAAATCATCGGCAAAAAGTATTGTTTAAATTTGAGTAAAAACACGATATTGTGCTCACTTGATGTCTAATGAGTAGTTGGATCGAACCCCACTCCAGTCAGAAATTTTTCAAATGTAGTAGTAACCTAAATTGGTCCTTCTGTTTAGAATTAGAATTAAGTAGTTATAGACGTCGAATAAGACGTTAAAAAACCTTAAAACATACACTAAATAAAATGGGAACTAATATTCGGATAGTTCAGCTGCAATAAGAGCATTAATCAAATCTAAATTAGTAGAAAATTATCCGGAACTATAAATGAGCGCGCATTTTCATATACATTTTTTTCAGTTTTTTTTTAATAAAACCCTTCCTGACAGTTATTTGTCTTTATATAATTATAATTTACATACACCCTTGAAATCTCAGTCTTTTGGAAAAACAAATGTTTCGAAACTTACCTGCATCTTTCTTGCCACCCCCTCGACCTGGGGTGGCTCTAGCCTCATTCTTTGGAATATTCTTAGCGGGGGTGTTGATCCATCGGTATTTTTGGGTAGGCTACATTTAGCTACGTCGTCGTTGCCCGAAACAAAATACATCTGAACAGCTGCCTGATCGTTCTTTAAGGCCAAAAGTCCTTGCCACATACAGGGGTATTGCTAAAATTAGAAATATTTATTGTATAACTGCACTTAAAAGTAAAATGTAAAATAAAACGAAAAGCAATGCGGAAGAAAAAACTTTAAATATTAAAAAAAATTATTGAAAAATATCATAAAAATACAGTATATAGACCAAGGGTCCTATAAGATATCTTATGAAGAGCGAGATATAAGGGATAATTAGGGAAAAGTCAAATAGCCGAACGAATAATAAGTTAAATTGGTAAATAATTTATTACAAAACTAACCTTTAACAGCATTAATAAGCTTTCCGCTTGTGGTGGTACTTGACTAGCATGCGGTGGTGTAGCTGCTTGCAATCCCCTCTGACTTGCAGGTGCGTCAGCCCCAATGTGCCTGGCGACAGCTCCCATGAGGTTTCCAGCTGCTCCCAAGCCAGCACCCATCATTCCGTGACCTGAGAGCGGCCGTTCTATATGCGTCATGCCCCGATCTGGACCAAGGCTTCCTATGTGGGCGCTGAGAGCCGAATGACTGCTGAGCGGCCGGTCCGGCGTACCTATGGGCGCCATGTGAGCAAGACCACGGTCGCTGCCCAAGGCTGCCAAAGAACCGTGGCTCGTGAGCGGTCGATGGGCTGGTGGAGGTTCTGCCTGGTCATAATATCGGTTAGGGTGTGCGTATGGAATACGTGCTGAGGAGTGGACGTTGTATACTTGACCCACTTGTGGTGAATCTGAAAAAGTAAAAATAATTTTTCTTCTGTTGTTCTTAAGAATAAAACAAATTTTCTTTATCGAGAGTTACTCGGATGAGTACTAAAGGGAAAGAGTCCCTTTCTGTAAGTGGAGAAGATTTTTTGTAGGAAAAACTTCTACATCTTCGGCTATCTGAGAAGGTTTAAGAAGACCAACCACTACTAATGACTTTTGTTATCTTTTTATTTACCTATTAGGCGTTTTTTATAATAAAAATATTTATTTACCTGTCGTTCTGTCGTGCGGAGAATGTAAACTGTGAGGTACTGCTGTACCTCTACCAGTTAATACATGTCCAACTGAACCTGGTCGCCTCAATTCTAGTGGTGGTGATGTTACAGGAGCTTCTTCTCCTTCTTGGCCATCTTTCTCCATGACTCCAGGCCTGAAACAGAGAAAAAATATAAGTATTTGAAATCCGGTATGAAATCAGTTGTCTGCGGTAATGGCCAATTGTTGAATAACTACAGTTGATCTAGAACCTTCTCATTCCCGTTATTTAATAAGAGTAGTGGTCTAATATTTTTTCATCTGTATAGTTTTTCAATAAAACAGTTTCAAACAGAATGGAGGAGAACCGTGTCCTCAAAATAGCAAGAGATAGTCACCAATCGGCAGAAGAAGTATCGGACGACCGCGTAAAAGATGGAGTGACAACCTTCCATAGAGGTATTAATTCATCAATGAACAAGCAGAATTGCTTATAAGGAGGAACAAGAAGAAGAATTCGAACAGTTCGTGATCACATTAATTTCTATTGTACTGCAGACATTAAATGATCAGAAAATGCTTAGAATCTCCAGGCCGATCAGAATGAGGTTAGCGATATGGAAGGGAAGATATAGTTTGAAGCTAGGCAAATTAACAATGTAAAACAAACGAAATTCAGGTTAAGTCCAAGTAGAATCTCATCAGGTATTCTATAAAGGTAACAGTAACACCCACCTGCATTGCATTAGTAGGTGGATCAGAGAGAACGATCTACAGCTCGCGCATCAGAAAACTGAGGTGTTAGTACTCAAAGGGACCCGGGACAAAATCCTCTCTTCGCTTTATAGTGGAAAGTGTGGAGGTTGCACCGGTTAAATCAATTAAGTATCTGGGATTCTGGTTGTCGGAAGGTGTAAGGTTCGGAGTATACATCCAAAAGACAGTGGATATTGCAACTAAGTCAAAATATTCCTCTCTCAGTCGATAACAGATAAATTATCAATGGATTAGTTATACTCGCCAAGTGTCTACAGATGTCACCCAGCTAACAGCACGGAATGGGGATGAGAATAATGCCGGTTTCCTATCTCTCTCAGACAACAATGTCAGCGAATAGGTTAAAAGATGGGAACATATTGGGAATAAAACATATAATGGTAATAGACAAATTAAACATCTAAGATCGGATAAAATTACAAATAAACTAAATGTCATACATATAAAACCTTAAGGGCAATACTCAAACATAAACAAACAAATAAGACAAAGTGCTAAGTTGCAGCCATTACAAAGAGAGCACATTTTTTCCATTCGTCTAAACGAGTAATGAGATAATCAATCATTCTATGTGTACATCAAATCATCTCTTTTCTTGCTTTTAAGACTGTCATTTTCAATCACATCTATAGGCTCTTGTGAATACAATTGAAAATACTGTTTTCATAAATATGTTAATCTATAAAACTTATCAATCAAACCAACTGATATACAATAGATATATGTGTTTTATCCATATATCTCAATTACTTGAAATGATCAATATGTTAAATTAAACAGTAATAACATTCAATCATTCACAGTTAGTAGTTACCACAATTTCCTTTAAATATAAAATTTGGTACTGGATCACGTACTCTACGTTGAACAATTAAAATATGTAATTTTTTATCCAATTGTGGAAAAAAAACAATTATAAACTTACCTCGAAAGATGTTGTAATTGTTGTTGGTGTTGCCTTAAGTATTGCTGGTACTGCATGACATGTTGAGGATGCATATAATGTGCCGGATTGAGATCGGGCGGTGGACGTAAGGGGCCTGGTGGAAAATGAGCAATAGCTTCTCCCTGTAAGTAATTTACATCCAGTTAATAAACAGTTACGTTTTTGTCAGAAATTAGACTACCAAATGATTTTTATTCTAAAATAACTCATTAGATATAAAAGAATCACCTTTGGAGATGGCGAGTTTTGATGGGCCGGCGGGGGACTACGACTTCGAGTTAAAAGACTTCTCTCCCCGTGCTGCGTGTTAGTAAAGAAAAAAGAAGTTAGTAAATAGAAAAAATGCCAGTAAAACGAAAAACTTACCAAATTCGGTTCATATCCAGGCAAGGGTAAGCCAGTCTGTCCAACAATCCTTTGTTGTGGTCCTTGAGGCGATAATTTTGATCTTTGTCCTATGATGACGTTACTCATAGAAACTTCTATCTTTGGAGGATCCATCATACCTTTTACACCCCCCGGACCTTGAATGATTCTCCCTGAGTTGTTCAAAGGAGATTGAGATTTGACTAAAGGTGGACTAGGTATGGCTCCGCTGATGATTTGCTGTTGGTGCAATGATTTGTTGCCTATAGGACCTTTACTCAGCATCACCTGTTGTTTGATTAAGGGCTGATGCTTCATGTGAGCCATCACCATCTGGGCCTGGCTTACCATAGTTGAAGGCAAGTGAGCTTTCGAAACCTGTGCTTGTTTGTTAACTTGCAACATTTGTTGGATTTGTTGTTGTTTTTGCTGCATCAATACAGGAGATAAAACGGGAGGCTTAACCAAGGCCTTGTGTGGCGGTTTTGATGTAACATTTATAGGAACCGCAGGTCTCGGAGAAACGTGAGTCGCAGAAGAAATACCAACGTTGACATTAGTATTTACGGTTAAATGTTGGTTGATTGGAGTAACAGTTTTTGAAACAACTGGAGGTGGAGCTACAGCCTTGGAAGCAACTATCGGAGTAATAGATTTAGTTATTATAACTGGTTTTACAGGCGCAAGAGCAGGAGGTGTAGAAACAGCATTGACAGCTGGTCTCGTCACTAATATTTCTTGAGAAACTGGCTTAGAAGTAACCACAACAGAAGGTGTAGTTGTTGTAATTTCTACTGCTGGTTTTGGTTGAACAATAGGAGGCGTTGCTTGATGCACGACGGCCTGTGCAGCTTGAGATGCTAAAACGTGTGCTTTTAAACTATGTGGTTTTTGTTGAACGATCTTTAACTGCTGAGGTTGGGCTATTACGCTCGCTTGTGTCTTGGGTACTTCGATTACAGGCTTGGGCGATTCTACTTGTTGTTTAACAAGAGCCGCTTCCGGTTTTTTATTCAAAGGCTGAGGAATGTTAGAGGTACCTGGTAATGGAATATACTTTCCTTCTTCACTCTCTCTCATTGGAATTAGCTCTCCCGTCACCGGGTCTATTAGGCTGGTAGGTTCGTTTGGATTTGATGAAATTAATTCAGATTTAATACGACGAAGAACGGTAGCCTTAAGACCTTCGATTTGTTTTTCTTTGGGAGGTTCTATAGGTTTGGGCTTTTCAACGAGTTTTTCCATTTCTACCGCAAGCTCAGGTTCTTTTGATTTCTCGGATTCTTTCGCTTTTTCGGTAGCCTTTAATGGTGGTGACAAAACTAGTTTTATTTCTTCTTTTGATGTTTCCTCAGATGACGAATTCTCAGCTGCTTCGGAACCTCTTCGCCCTCTTCTGCCCCTAGGTGATTTTCGGGGTGTGTCAGGTTGGGATGGACACTGTTTGGGTGTGGCTTGTCGTCCGGATCTTCTTTGGTTGGATGTGGCACGAGTTTGAACTGTATTTTTAACAACATCTTCGATAGTGTCATCGATAGTAGTTTTGGATGTGTCTCGTTCTTGTAGTCTCCTCGATTTTCGGGTGTTTGTTGATGGGGAAACAAATTCTTCCTTGTTTTCAATTGGTTTAATCGGAGGTGGCGAAATTTCTTTAGGTTGTTCTTTACCAATTTCTTTGGCTCCATCCTTAGTAACTTCTTTAATGCTTGCTGTTGTTTGAGCACTGTTTGAATTTAATATTGCAGGTGATTTTATTGTTAGGATTAGTCTTGGACGTTGTTCTTTATTTGAATCATCAGGTTCATCTCTGAATTCATATACATCGGCTGGAGATGAATCAGATTCAGTTTTCGACGGTTTTCTTTCAGTGCGAGGTTTTCCACCTCGCCCTCGTTTAGTACTAACAGGAGTAGATTGAGACAGTTCTTTTAATTTGCCTCTGCGCGTTTGGATTCCACCTGCTCTTTCCAACGTTGGATTTGGTCGTTCAATCTTCTGTGGTTTAATGGTTCTACCTCGACCTCTACCTCCACGACGGCTACTAGAACGTAGCATTGGAGCTTCTCTAGGTTCTTCAGTAACTTCCTGCTCAGTTTCAGTCGATTCGTCTAATATATCGGAAGTGTCACCACCCTTTGCTTCTTCTACTACAGGAGATGGTTCTTCTTTCTTTTCTGGACTTTGAGGCATAACTTCTTTATTTTCAGTTGGAATGTTATCAGTTTCATTAGATTCTTCTTTCTCTGGTTTAGGGTCGTCAAACCAATCACTTTTACCGTTTTCGCTACTGTGATCAGACATTTCATCTGCCGAACAAAGTGTCTTGATAACAGAATCAATATTGACTTCTTTTGCTGACCAATAATCACTGTCCTCTTTTGAGTCAAGTGGGTCGTCTTTAGCAAGAATATCGGCACTAGCAGAACGTTCTTTGCTGATGTCTGAAACGATACTTTCAGTTTCGGTTTTTTCCTCATCCATTTTTTCAACTTTGTTACATATGATGGAGTCTTTATCACTATCAACTAATATTTTCTCTTCGAAATGTTCAATTTTGGGCTCTTCTTTGTGTTCTGATTTAACTAGCAATTCTGGCAACTTTTCTGTTGCAGAGGAAACAATCTCGTCTTTAATGTTAGGAGACGACTTTTCTAGTGTCATATTCAGCTCCTCTGTTACTGCCTCAATTGCTAGCTTTACTGGCTTCTCTTCTTTCTTTAATTCTGTTGGTTCATGTTTTATTTCTGGTGTTGACAATACAGAAGTTATTTTAAATGAATCAGCAGTAGAAGCAGTAGAAACAATCACTGGACTTGGTGTAGATGTAACTAAGGGGTCTGCTACTTTTGGAGTAGGTACTCTGGGTACTTCTACAACTTTTGGTGTAGGTACTCTGGGTAGTTCTACAACTTTTGGAGTAGGTACTCTGGGTACTTCTATAAGTTTTGGAGTAGGTACTCTGGGTAGTTCAACAACTTTGGGAGTAGGTTGTATCACAAACGATGGACAAGAGACCTCTGGAGGCATGGACACTGCAGTAGTAGAACTTGCTACCGGGTTAGGACTTGACGATGTTGGCTTTGGACTTACTGCTGCTGCTGGTGGCGTAGGTTTCGGACTTGGAGAATTCTTTAATCGAGGACTAAGGGCGCTGGGTGAAAATGGATTAGGACTTGGACAATTTGTTGATGACTTAGGACTTGGTAGTGTTGGTGTTGGAGGTTTCATTGTAAAAGTATCTTTTGGAATTGTTATTGGCTGTAAAGGTGGATGTGAAGGTACTACTGCTGGTTGAGCAATGCTCGCTGGTACCATAGGAGGTAAAGGTTGGTTAGTTTCTCTTGCTATAGAATTATCTTGACTTGGCGATGATGCGGGAATATTGAAAGTAGGGTGTGGTGGATTACTCATATAATTGAAATTATGTGGGTTGATCTGCCTAGTAGGAACAAGTAGTCCCTGTGGCTGTAAATGCCTAATATTTCCTGGAATTGCCATTCTTGGAGGATTTGGTCCAAAGTTACTGAACTGTGGTGATTGTAACGTAGAAGATTGGTATACCATCCTAGCGCGTTCCTGGCTACGAACTTCAGATGTTGAAACCAATTTAGGAGGCTCCAATGTATGAGCAAGTTTAGATTGTTGTAAAATCACTGTTGTAGGCTGCATTGCCTTGGATACCATTACTGAAGTAATTGGCATTCTGTTATGAATTAATCCAGGAGGTAATCTAGGAGACGGAGACAATCCTGATTCTATTAAAGAGGTGGTTGGTTTATTTATTTGCATTGGAGAACGAGCTGGCAGATTATGCAACTGTGGAGGAGTTGGTGACTTTGTTAGTGTCTGAACGACAGGAACAGCCTGTAATTTATTTGCTACTTCACCAAGAGGAGATAGACTTAAATGATCCTGCTTTGAGAGCGGCTTTAGTGGTGGAAAAGGAGAATCAGCAATCTTGAGTACCGGGGGACTTGTGTAAGTTCTAGAGGTTGCTACTGTTACTGCAGTATTTTGAACTGAAGGACTAGATACTGCTACAACTGCCTTCTGTTCTATTTTAATAACAGAAGATGTAGGTTTTGTAGTAGGAACGTCTAGTTTAGAGTCTACAGGCCACGATTTTGAAATAACTGTACGTTGTTGCTGTTCTGGTAAAACTGGAAGATCTCTTTTTTCTACATTTAAGGTCTTCTTTGTTTCTATTGCAGTTTGGGGTCTTATCGGTGTGAGAGATGGAGGGCTACCAATATTAGGAGTTGTTTTCAATACTGCAATCGGTGTTAGATCGGTGGTAGATTTGTCTTCCATATGGTTAGTAAAGATGGGTGGTAGATCAGGTGTCTTTGGTAGTGGGGGGAATTCAGACATTTCGGGAGTCTTTGGAGCGCTGTCAAATCTTAGTGGTACATCTTCCTGTTCTTCAGTATCAGTGTCAATCTGTAGATCGTGTTCACTTTGTGGAGTATCAGGTTTTACATCTAAATCTGCGGCACTTAAGCTTTGTACCGCTTGTCGCATTTCTTCATCATCTTGAACATTATTTTCTTCCACCAAGGTATTAGAAGGTTCTTCCAAAATAGTATTTTCAGTGTAAAATTCTTCTTGTTTAACACTACCGAAACTCTCACCTAACAAAGCAGCTACCGCATCTTCAGTCTCTTCTTGGGAAATTACAACTCTAGGCTTTTCATCTGTTGCGGGAGTTGGCTTCTCTTCTTCTTCTTTAACGACGACTTCTTCTTTCTTGACGATTGGTTCAAATTCAGAGATTGATTTTACAGCTGAATCATGAATTTTTTCGTCTATTTGTGTACCGAATCCAGGTATTAACTTATCACGTTTTATTTCTTGTGGAACTGATTTAATTAGGATAGTATTAAGAGGCATAATAGGTAAAGTAGAAGTAGGAGGTTTATCCGAAGGTTGTTCTTCTAGAATGTTAGGTAAACTAGCACTCGGTGGAGGAGGGGGAGTGACGACTTCTTCTTTAATTGCCAATTTCTCTATAACTGGAGAAGAAGTTAAAACAGGAGACGGAGAAGTTTCTTTCTTAATTTCAACATGTTTGACTTTGTTTTTATCATGATGGTGGTGATTATGATGTTTATTCTTCTCATCTTTACTTTTCTTCCTTTTCTTTTTCTTTTCTTTGCCTTCTCTTCTTTCTTCTTTATCTTTTTTAATTCCTATAACCTCACTGAAGGTAAACGCGTCTTCAGTCGTGTCTAAAGCATCGGCAGATTTACTTACACTTTCAGAAGCATCCAAGCTTTCGTCTAGCATCATATTGGCTTCTAGTTGTTTACCCATATCAATGTAATCCATACTATTTTCGTTGCTCTCTTGACCAGCGGTTGCCAAAGACGATGCAGCGGCAGCAGCTGCCAAAGTCGCTGCAGCAGCAGCAGCTTCTTGAAGACGACGTTCTTTTTCCCGACGTTTCTTTTCCTTCTTTCGTTTATGTTCTTCTTTGTCTCTATCTCGTTCTGATTTTTCTTTGATTTTAATTTCAGGTTCTTTTTCGGATTCGCTATTATAGTTTTGTTGTTGCGTGTTGATTTCCTCTTCGGTAAGTGTCTGAATTTTGGGTTGTTGTTGGGATTCTTTGTTTCCGTTTTCAGAATCTTCAGAAAGCGATCCGAAAATATTTTCCATTTTACCCTCTCTTTTACTATCGCATTTGCCCTCCAATTTGTTCTTTTTGGATTTTTTCGACTTCTCCCTACCTTCTCTGTTTTTGTCTCGTCGTTTCTCTTTCTTGCTGTGATCTTTCTTCTTTTCGTGTTTTGGTTTTTCTATCGTTTCTGAATGTAGGGAATCTGAAATTATTTCCAGCTTGGAAGTTTCCTCGCTACTTAAAGAGTGTTTTTGCTTTCTTTGTTTCTTTTTGTGCTTCTTTTCTCTTCTCTCGGATCTTTCTTTTCTGGCAGCTTCCTGTGCCTCTTCGTCGGTGGTGATATCGACAAAGGAATTCTTGTTGTTGAACTTTTCTGATTTTACGTCTGATTGACTGACATCGCTAAATAATAAACTATTCATTTCTGTAGATGATTCTTGGCATTTACTATTCCTTCTTTCTTTTTTAATAAGTTTACTCAAATCTTCCTTGACAGTAAACAATTGATGTTTGTCTTCCAGGATATTGTAAGATGACTGGATCTCTGTTGAAGTAGAATCTGTGAAAAACTCTGCCTTAATGTGTTGCAATTTCTTTTTGTTGTTTTCGTCTTCTGAAGTATCACTAGTTATTCGAGATTTTAAAGTTTTTAATATAAGTGATTTGTTTCTAGATTCGTCATCACTGGTACCTATAATTAGCTTCATTTGATCATATATAGTTGAGAAATCCGGAAATTCTTCTTTCTTCATTGCTTTTCGCTCTTCATTTTCATCGTCTGAACTGTCAATGAGCATTTTAGGACACCTCTTCATTTTGATTTCGCTATGTCCTTTATCAGAATCCGAATCTTCGTCCCATGATGTTGAACGCTTCTTTTCTTCTCGTTTAGCTCTACTTTGTTTGAGCTGCGTAAATTTCGCTTTTAGTTTCTCTTGCCGCTTTTCCTCTTCGAGCTTAGCCATGTTCTTGCAGCTTCTGGCCTTTACTTTATCGTACATAGATATATAAGCAGGTTCATCGTCTACAATGTCAAAAATGGAATGTTTCTTTGGTTCATCAGAATCACTATCTGAACTGTTTATCAGCTTACGTATTCTCTCGCGTTTTTTCTTCTCCTCACTTGACTTAGACCCGCCTTCAGCATCCGATTTGCTACGACTAGATTTCTCCAAAGAGTGCATCTTTTCCAGTTTTTTAATTTTTTCATGTTCCTCTTGTGTGATTCGCTTCTCTTTTGATTCTTTATCTTTCTTAAATGTTTCGCTCTCTTCTGTAGATTTTAATTCCAACCTATTGAGAAATTCTTTGTCTGTTAATGTAATATTTGTTGTCTCTTGAGCTTCCTTTTCTCGACTTTTACTTTTCGATTTTTGTTTTTCTAATTTATGTTTTTTGTGACGTTCTTCTCTTTCTTTTCGTTTCTCTTCGGAGTCTTTGGAACTGTTATGTTTTTCATGGGATTTATTAATATTATTCTTATGTTTGCTCTTGATCCTTTCCTCAGATCTAGTACTATCTTTGGAATCTCGTCTTTCATGAGACAATTTCACTTTTTTGGTCTCTTCAGCTTCTATCGTCTCATGTGAGCTGAACCTGCGTTTTGAACCAATACTAGCAGGTAGGCTATTATTTCTCTCTTTTCTCTTCGAAGGATCTTTATCATGTGATTTTGTTTTATCAAGGTCTATAGACATGTGCCTTGTTTCAACTAGTTCCCTGATTCTATTGTCTACTAAATGTTTATGTTTTTCGTGTATATTGTTATCCCTATTTTCTTTAATGCTTTCTTTTCTCCTTTCAGATTCCCTATCTAAATGTATTTTCTTCTCAAAACTATGTTGATTTGTGCTTATTTGGTTTACTATCTTTTCTTCTTTCTCTTTATGCTCTATGTGTTTATCAAGGTGGTTTTCTCTATTTTTATTATCACTGTGAGTTTCTCGATGCTTGTTGTGTTCATCTTTTCTTTTTTCTTGATTGTCTTCTTTATGCCGAACTCGTTCCCTTTCTCGTTTCTCTCTCTCTATCCTCTCTTCTTCTTCTCGCCGTTCCTTTTCATCTTTAAGTTTTCTGTCTGCTTCTTCCTTATCTCTTTTTTCTTTTTCTATTCGCTCTTGCTCCTGCCGTTCTCTTTCCATCTTCTCTTCCCGCAGTCGCCTTTCGGTGTCTTCTTTTTCTTTCCGTTCTTTTTCGAGCCTTAGTCGTTCAAGTCTCTCTTGTTCCTGCCTTTCTTTTTCTACACGTTCCTTTTCTCTTTGGGCTTTTTCTTCTCTCTCTAACCTAAACTTCTCTTTCTCTGCTCGTTCTTTTTCTTGTTGCTCTTTTTCTAACCTTTCTTTTTCCAGTCTCTCCTTTTCTAACCTTTGTTTTTCTAATTCACTCTCTCTTTCTAAACGTTCCTTTTCTATTCGTTCTTTCTCTAGTCTTATTTTTTCTTGCTTTTCATGTTCGTGTCGTTCTCTCTCAATTCTTTCTTTTTCTGACTTTTCCTTTTCTAGTTTTTTGTTTTCTGCTTTAATTTTTTCCATTCGTTCAATTTGTGCTCGTTCTTTATGAGCTTCCGCATCACTGTCATCTGATTTCCGCGCACTAGTATCACTATTTCTTCTTGTTTTTACATCAGCTCTTGGGGAATTACTATTAGAGTCTCTCCTACACGATATTTTCTCTCCAGTTTTATCAACTTTCGTCTTGCCTTCACAGGGAATGTTAACGCTGGTCTTTTCACTAGTTTTTACAGGAGGTACAGAAGACACTACGTTACTTTTATTTACAGTTATTTTGCTAATTGTTCTCGTATCACTCGGCGCACTCGAACACGGTTTCAGTCTGTTTTCACCATGGGAGGCACCTCGTGAAGGCGAGGGCATTGACGAAGACGTGGTCGTTGCGGTGGTTGTTGTCATTACTGCCGTAGTGACTGTGGTGGTGCTGGTGGCCGCGACCGTGGGTGGCGCCACTGAAGTCGTGGTCGTCGCTGAAGATGTCTGAGGAAGCGACGAAACTACTGGTGACATGAGATTAGGCGGATGCGTCGGAAAAGGGTATTGGAGGCCTTTTGCTGCTTGAATACCGGTTCCTGAAAAATACAAATAATTGTACAGAAAGAAACAAAATTCAAGAAGAACAAAACATAATCAAGATACAACAAATAAAAATATTACTATTGGGATTCGATCACATATATGAATATACTATAAAGTAAGTTCTAATGACAAAATAATTGCAGGGTTACAAAACGCACATACAAGACGAGAATTCGGAGTACTTAGGAAACCCAATAAGCTTAAATAAATTGCAAAATTCTGACTTGATTCTGTTGAATGTGAATAATAAAGAATCGATTTTACAATTTGCGGTTTCTTTCTGAAACATATTTAAAACAAAATAGAAGAATTCAGATAAATGTATTGATAATCGAAGTGACCTTACTTTAAAACTTAAATAAAATCTTAATAACTTTATTAGTGTATTCCTAAAATTTCCGGATGAAAATATTTAATCTCATTCCACTTACCGGATGATCTCGGTGATAGCAGTGTTGGCGTTTTGGGTAATGCAGTAGCTGCAGTAAGTTTTAACGCAGGCGGTGCCAACAACGGTGAAGCAGGTACTGAAGTTTGCGTGATCAGTGCGGTCCTAGGAAAAAATGAAAAATCCTTTGGTTCATACTTTTCTCCCACATTTTCTAACCGTTTAAGGTCTTCGTCAAAAACTGACCGTTTTGCCATCACAGATTTGACTATTTCAGAGGGTTGGACTTCTTTCAGGTCCAGATCTAGAATTTTGTGCCTCTGGCGGAATTTTTCCAAATTGGCGTCTATGAGAGCCAGAGCATCACCACCAGCTGCGCTCAGAGCTCTCGATCCGGACCATTTTTCGTACTTTTCATCTAGGGACTTTATTCTCTCCTCTAGGGAAGGACTAGGTGGCGTAATGTCGCTATCGCTTGAGTTGGAACTGAGACTAGGCGGCCTTGGGGGCGGTGAAGCAGGCGGAGGCACGTGGACTGGGCTAGGAGGCCTCGGATTGGATATTCTGGGACTTGTCACAGCCGGAGGTGGACTAGAAAGGATGTTGTCTTTTTGGCCCTTGATTCCGGCTACTGATACACTCCCTGCAAAAGGTAATTGTAAAAAAAAACAATACTTAATATAGTAGTACTTAAACGAACATTATTTCAATATGACTCATCTATTAAAAAGAAAACTTACCCCTGTTCATGATTTGCGCAGCAAACCTTGGTAAAGGTAGCGTAAGAGGACCCTCCCTCTCTCTCGGCACTCTTCTAGGTTCAGTGGGCGGGAAATTTTCTGGTCTTTCATCGCAAAGTGGAGTACCTGGCCTAGAACCACCTACGCTCTCAGACCCTGAATGATCATAGTGGTGGACACGGGATCCGCTATCACTACCCGCTGTTTTCCTCCTCTTACATACCGAGTGGGGTACATAGACTACGTCGTGGCGCACGTGTTTTCCCGAATCTATCGATGGTCGCCGAGAGTGGTGCTTTAAGTTGACGTCTGACAATCTTCTTACTTCCATAACCTACAAATAAATTCTCTTTAGGTCATTTCTACGCTTTAAGCTTAAATTAATGCCACAAATATTTTATTAAGTCCGTCAATTATAATTATAAATGAAAAGTGATCCTAATTACCTTTCTATGGTCTCTGTTGGCTTCAATGATGACATCACTTGTTATGACTGAATCCAACAGATCGAGTTTTATTCGTTTCTTTGGACTGATCAATTCATCTCCCGAACTGGGACACTCTTCTAGTTGTTCAAGCAGATGGACTCGTTCTTTCTGTAGATTCCTCATATCAGGCGGAGCAAAGGACACAACGTTGTCAATAGCTGTAAAGGATTAAGGTTTGAAAAGTTTATTGATTTTTGAAAAATATTTCAGTTTCAAATTTTTATGCTTAATATAAAAATATTAATTTAATCCATACTTGATGTTCGAGTAGTTAGTATTTTTATGATTTGGCAGTAAAAAATATAGAACTACCAAGAAAAATTATTAGAATTATTGTAGGAATGAATATGGAGATAACGATAAATTAAGTAACTTAACAAAGCTACAAATTAAAACATTTTGAAACACAAGTAGGATTCTATAGGGAGACCTATTATCAAAGGTATGGTTTAAACTGATCCTAGAAGCAGTAATCAGAAAAAAAAAAACATGATAAAGGCATATGAAACCATATTGTACAATTTAACACTTTGGAATTGCGTTCAAAATGTTAACTGTTTTCTTATCCCACAAATTTCTTTCCATCTCATATAAATTATGTTTAAATAAACGAATAAAGAACAGGCTATAATCCTGATAATATTTTTGTTAGCGAAAGGATTGCTCATCAGATAAAAAAAGTGGTAGATGGCACTTCCAAGAACATACCATAGACCAATCATGGTTGAAGTAAGAAGACTGTCCTCAGACAGTTTCTTTCCAACGCAGATTTAATTCCAAAAATTCGAAGTGGAACTCCTTTACTAGAGTCTTGGACAAAGAGGTGGGCAAACTTCAAGCTGGCCCACGCTGTTGCGAGAAATTTGTCAGCATAGTGAAGACTGTGTCACGGAATGACATTTCTCGGGATGTCCTAAGTTCGCCTGAGGATTAACAGTCTTAACAACAAACATGTTCGAGGAGTACCAAGCTAAATACGAAGAAGACCTATTCTCTGATGATACCATTCAGACTGAAGAGGAACTGATGAGATATTTGACTGAGGGAAGAAAAGAGAAATAGGCCAAACTATTGAATGATCTCGACATGATGCAAAACAGTAGGCCGGCATGGAATCTTATTAAAAATCTGGGTAATGAGCCTACTGCTCAACACTTTGACCTCTCGAAAGTAACGCCAGATCAAATACATATGAGCTCTTACTTAATTCTAAATGTAATGCAAGAAAATAATAGATCCTATAACACCCGTACTGTATGACTTGAGTAATAAGAGAAATAAAAGAAATGCAAAAGAAGGAAAATTTTAGAGTACAAATAGGAGGAATAACATACACTCTTCCAAAGCGTCAAAGAGTTTACTTATTTAGAGATGGAAATATCAAAACGAAACAAAAAGTATGGAGCATTAAGAGCATTAGTGAATTCTAAATGACGGTTATTGGACTAACATTTACATAAGACAATGAAACGTGGGTGCTGAAAAAAATCAGAAACAGACCTTTTAAAGAAATCTGAAAGAAACATTCTTAGAACATTATACGAAATAACAGGATTGTGGAACATAAGAACTAACAGAAGTAGAATACATATAAAGTGCCAAAAATAACAACGGTAAACTATATATAAGAGGGGACTAGAAAGAAAAGGCAGTTGATAGAGGCAAATGGAAAGAAATGGAAAGGGAGCTATGCAAGGACTATAAAACGAAATTAAATTAATATATAATCTATTTATATGACAAACTGGAATATTTTGCCAATAGGCTGAACTACTAAATTTCTTTATTACGGAATTTCATTTTGATCACAATCAACTGTTAGTTAAAACTTTGTGAAAAAGGGCAATAATAAATGGAGGAAATAAAACTTATTTCTATGCCATTATTTAAGTCAAAAAAAAAAAAATAAAAGAAATGTATATGTATGTATGAACTTACTCTGTATAGGATCTGCGTTGTCGTGGATGAAACCATACTCATGATCATATAGATCCTCATGAGACGCTGTAGAACTCTGGCTGTACTCATCGTAGCTTCGAAAATGTCTGTCAGCGTACTCCAGCGTTTGATCGTAGTAGTCGGCGAATCTTCGAGATCGAGAACTGGTACCCCGAGGAGTAACGGATCCGGGAGTCCCGGGAGACTGCAGAGATGATGTCACTTGGCTCGCTGATGCGTTCGACCTGCTGCTGTAAGATGACGTTCGAGGTCGTGTTGGAGTGTCATATCGACTGTAACGAATATTGTTAATTAGTTATGAGTCGATAACAAATAAAAAACTAATTAATTTGAAAAAAAACATCACATTCTTCATATTAAAAATGTATTTACATTTTTTTTTTCAATTAAGTACATTCAATGAAACCTTAACAGTATCACCTATAATGACATTTTACTGTAGAGTTACTAACGTGATACGAGAACTGTATATTAGTTTAATAAACTCTCTGTGATTATTTCCACAATCCTCTTATCATAGCAGAACGCAAGTTAGATTAACGTTGATCCTAATTTGCTAGATCCAAGCCCAAATTATTACGATATCTACTTTTGAATAAGCTCTGATATATTTAGAAAGTTTACGTCCGAAAACTGTATCATTTTTCTTCCTATCTCATAGAAGATGTACAAAAAGAACATAACTGCAAAATAATATGCATTAAAAAAAATTCTCAATGGCTTGAGTTATTTTCTTTTCTTTTTCTTTCTAATATTGTGGACATGGAAAGAAAAAAACCAAATAGAAATTGGGAGACATTAGAATTTGGTTCACGTTCAAATAAAGACACATTTAGTGAAAAAAATCTCAAAAAAAGTTCAAATATTAAGAGTTAAAGACCTGTCTAAAACACACAATACCAGCATTCCGCTACTTTATCGGGTCTCAAATCTTGAGACTATTACAGTTTTGTTAAACTGTCGTCAATATCCGTACTCACCTTGAAAATCTAGTGGATGCTGGATCGAAAACCCTCGCTGATGTTTCTCGTCTCTCCTCGAAGATGCTTCGGTCAAGAATAGTTCCCTGTTTCTCCAGCCTTTCGAAAAACGATTCCTGACACTCTCTACTGGCAAAGTCGACTTGTATCTTGGTGTTCTTGAGCGTGAAGCCGCGCATCTTAGTAACGGCAGTTTGGGCACTCATGACTTGATCGTAAAAAACGAGCGCTTGTCCTTTGTCCCGGTCTATATGAATCTTACTTATGACCCCGAAGGGTTCGAATTGCATTTTCAGGTACTTTTCGTTAACGTTCTCGTTAACACCGTCGATCCAAACGCAGTTGTAAGGCATCGACTTGCCGAATCCTAACTTTATTCGATTATTACCTAAGTGTTCACCGTCCATCTTCCGTATGGCCTTGACAACACTCACTATATCCGAGTACTGACAAAACGCATAAGAACTCACAGCCCCTTGTTTTTTAATGTCGATTTCTATAATCTCCCCGAACTGGTCGAAGTGTTTCCTGAGATCAGACGCGGTCACGTCTTTTTCCAAGTTACCGATAAATAGGGTCCGCGTGGCCTTCGGATGGTACTCGTCGATTTCCGCCTCGTACGGCCTCAGATCGTTATCCTCAACGTCATAGCCTTGGTAAGGCGCAACCTCGATCTTGCACCCGAAAAACAGCTTATCGTAGCTCACTTCCAGCGCTTTTTCCACGTCTTCGGGCTTCTTGAAGCACACAATCGCGTGCCTTTCGGCATCTTTTCCTACCACTTTCACCCACGTCACTTTCCCGTGTTTTTTGTACTCGTGGAAAAGACCATCCTTCAAGGAGGTGTCTGATGATCGCGCCGGTAGGTTTTTCACGCATATCGCCAATGGTCTTCGGTCGTCACTATGCACCACTGGCTGATGGTTCGAATTCGACGCGTTACTTGATGCTATCCTCTTTGATTTCGGGGAACTGGTCGAGCTGGTATCTCGCGATATTGAGGAACTTGAGGAACTACTGCTACTTCTTGATCTTGATCTGAAACAAAAACAGATCACGGTTATTCTAAGATGGCCACTGACGTGTTCTAGACAATCTTTCATCCTTTTTCACTAACAATAAGACTCATGGCTCTAGGACAAGATCGCATATATCGTATATAGATCGAAGCCCGCAAGATTTCGCATAAGTTGTATTCACAAATATGAATAAATGATTGCTAATAATATTTAAACAAAATATCTTGGTTAAATACTCGACTTTACGTTTCTTTCGAAAGCCTAAGTTACAAAAAATTTGAAGATCGTGCTATACAATACAAGAATATGTTTCCTCCTCTTTAATTGGGACCTTATTCTGTGGCCTTAATTTGTATTTTTTATGCTTATATCCATTAATGTTTTTTCTATTCTTCTATTAACTACTTCCTTGCCATGTACTAAATATCCGTGTAATCCACTGCATACCATAATGCGTATAATTTTTAATCTATATTTTTCTCCAATTGTATTTTATCGTCCAAAATTTTAATGATTGTTCCAAAAATATCCATTATCCATTCTGCTAGAACTAATTAAGGCAGTTCCTGGACAAGTATTTGAAATACTAGCAACTATATTTATGCGATGTCTAAAAGGAGCAAATGTCCTATATGAATGGAAGCAAGCAATGGAAGAAATTATTTATCTCATCGATATACAAAAAAGACAGTAGGTCGGAGTGTAGAAATTACCGTGCTCTCTCCCATTTTGTGCTAGATTGGACGTCTATATGAAAGAATTATTAAAACTCGAATAGAAGATAATATGACAAAAAACGCCTCATAAAAATATCCATAAAGCCACATGGCAATCACCAGATGGTCAAACAAAAAACCAAATTGACCATGTACTAATTGATAGTCGACATTTCTCGGACGTGCTAGATGTAAGAGTTAATGTAGAGGTGCTAATATAGACTCTGACCACTACCTTGTAAGAACAAAACTCAGGGCTCGTATATCAAACGCTAAGAAGTGCCAGAGCACAAAATCTACAAAATATAATATTGATGTGCTAAAATCTGAAGACGCTAGGAATAACTACACGAAAATTTTAAATGAAGAGCTGACAAGAATCGACGAAAATTTAAGTATAGAAGAACACTGGACCAAACGCAAGGAAGCTATCCATACAGCGGCTAAAGGCTTTTTAAAACCTAACCAGGCTAAAATAAACGAAGATTGGTTTGACGAAGAATGTAGATCCATTAACCAACAGAAAAATGAAGCATACAAGAGACTTCAGCAGCACGGAACGAGATCAAATCTGGAAGACTATGAAAATCTTAGACGAGAGGAAAAAAGGACGTTTAGAAAGAAAAAGAAAGAGTCATACGAAAACGCTCTAAACGAGATGTTTTTACCCACCACAACAGAAAAGACTCGCGAAAATTCTACCAGAAGATAAACAGCTGCATAAAACAATTCAAACCCAGAATACCAGCATGTAAAGACAGATATGGTTCCATAATTAGTGACAAAGAATAGATACTAAATAGGTGGGCGAATCATTTTGAAGAACTGCTTAGGGTGGCCGCACACAGAAAGAGCAAATCTGTTTTAGTCAAAAACGTTTTTGACTAAACGAGTTTGATGCTGATGTTTCCATATAAATTAAATGAGCTGACGCACACTAATTAGTCGTGTGTCTAAAGCATGTTTAGGCTCATTTAGTTTCAGTCAGTCTGTTTGATGTTGATTACCTGATCGTCGTTTTGTCTCGAAACATTTCAATGTACGCAGGCGCAACGTGCTTTTGAAATTCCCTTCTTAAAACCGCTCGAATAGTCAACAAGGAGCACATGTGGAAACAGCGATATTTTGTTTTTTCGTCTTGTAGGAGAAACCACTGCCAGAAAACTAGTGCAATTTATAAGTTATCTGTCGACATCTTTAATAAAACTGATTGCAGTATGGTTTGTGCAAACAGTTTGTTTTTCTTGAAAACAAAATGTTTCTTGTGGAAACAAAAACGTTTTTGTTTCAAACAAAAACGTTTTTGACTAAAACAGTTTTGCTCTTTCTGTGTGCGGCCACCCTTAGCGACAGTCGTGAAAAAGACCAAATAGAAATTACCTTGACTGAAATGGATGAAAACGCTCAAGAGCCGCCCCCCACCGAAGAAGAAATTAGAGAGGCCATTTCAAAACTGAAAAATAACAAAGCCCCTGGATTTGACAATCTTCCTGCCGAACTCTTTAAAAATGGTGGTGGCATCCTTCTTAAACAAATGCATAAATTAGTAACCGAAATCTGGCTACGGAAGGAAACGCCCGCAGACTGGAAATTAGGTGTAATGCACCCTCTTCACAAAAAAGGAGATATGATGGTGTGTGATAATTATAGAGGCATCACCCTACTTAACGTAGCATATAAAGTATTGTCCAACGTATTGTACAGAAGATTGATCCCCTATGCTGAACAAATAGTTGGGAACTACCAGTGCGGTTTCCGACCCAATAAATCAACAACGGATCAAATCTTCACAGTCAGGCAGATTCTTGAGAAAACGCTTGAGTTCGGAGTCGACACCCACCACATATTCGTGGATTTCAAAGCCGCATACGACTCAGTCAACAGACAAAAACTTCTACAGGCTATGGTGGAATTTCAAATGCCGCTTCATCTTGTTCAACTAACGGAACTTACACTCACAGGCGTAGAGAGTGTAGTCAGAATCCAAAACGACTTTTCAAGACCCTTCCATTGTAAAAATGGACTGAGACAGGGAGATGGACTGTCGTGTCTCTTATTTAACCTTGCACTAGAAAAAGTAATTCGAGAGTGCCATATTAATACGAATGGCACCATCTTTAATAAATCTGTACAAGTGGTCGGATATGCAGATGACATAGACATTATTGCTAGGTCCACGGAATCTCTGATCGAAGCATTTCGATCATTAAGGGCGTCTGCACTGAGAATGGGATTAAAAATAAACGCACAGAAAACCAAGTATATGTATTGTACTAGATCAGGCAACCAGATACCTAGACTATTAATTGATGATCTGGAACTGGAAGGTGTGGAGACCTTCATCTACCTGGGCTCGCTGCTGACCAAAAACAACAATGTCAGCGAAGAAATTAAAAGAAGAATAGTGCTTGCCAATAAGTGCTATTAAGGCTTGAGGTAACAGATGACCCCAAAACTACCCAAAAAAATTAAAATTACTATATATAATAACACTAATAAGGCCAGTGTTAACATACGGGTCAGAAACGTGGTCACTTACACAGAACGACCAAGAACTGCTTAGACGTTTCGAGAAAAAAATTCTAAGGAAAATATATGGAGGAGTCCAAGAACAGGGTTTGTGGTGTAGGCGCTACAACTTTGAATTATACAGGAGTTTTGGGGAACCTGACGTTGTAAAATTTATTAAATTAGCACGCCTTCGATGTACAGGTTAGCTATTATTTTTAAGTCGTTTCCGTCAATCCCTGTCCTCTTCAGCACTTTCATCATTTGTTCATGCCTGACTCTATCGAAAGACTTTTTGTAGTTAATCAGGCATGCACAAACATTACAGCTGACATCTCTACATTTCTGAAACAATATCTGCACGCTACATAAAGCTTCCCTCGTACCAACGGCGTTCACAAATCCAAACTGATTGAGCGCAATTTGTTCCTCGCATTTCCGGTAAATTCTTTTGTGGATGACTTTTAAAAACAGCTTCAGCAGATGGCTCATTAGGCTTATGGTCCTATAATCTTCACAAACTTTTGCTCCTGGTTTTTTGGGCAATGGTACGAACTTCGATTTGACCCACTCTACTGGTATTTTTCCTGCCTTGTATATTTCATTAAATATTTCAGTTATTATTTTTATTTGTTCTGCATCTAATAGCTTCAACAGTTCTGCAGGAATTTCATCAAGTCCCGGTGCCTTTCCATCCTTCATTTGTCTGACTAGAGTACTAAGTTGAGACCCGTCAGCTAATTTGTTATAACCAATTTAATTGTTTAAACGATTGTATCTTCTAACTAAAATATTAGAGACAGTTGATTTTACCAAAATGAAAATTGTTTCTTTTGAAAAACTTAAGAAAACAGCGTTTAGTAAACTTAACTCCAATTGTTAGAACTGGAGTTGTAACAAATTCTGTGAAAAACAATTGCAAAATGTTGCATTCGATGGAGTTTTTCCAGTTATAATTCAGCTGAAATACGTGCGATTTATTTCCAAAATACCCTAATTTTAAAGTTAAAATTTTATTCCGCATTATAGCATAAACGTAAGACAGTTGCTTAATAACTGGTTTCCTCGAAGAATGGATTGGACGAAAAGGGTTTATTGAATGAATGGTCAGTAAGATCTCCCAATTTAACTCCCCGGTTATTTAAAACGATTTAAAATACCATAATACCAACACTTGATCCGTTTTAGCCAAAATTCAGTGAATATTACCAAATAAGGGGTGGATTCTTTCGAGTGGCCAACCCGGTATATTGCCATCCATAATAATTTTCTAGAAAAGCTCTCTGATAAGGTTTTACTTCAAACTGATACAGTTGTTTTTATAGATTTATATGTTACTATTTTGAATTGATTTCTTTTATCAAGCCCAATTTTATCAGTAGGCAATAATATTTGTTTAGTTGATAAAATAAAGTTACGGCTAGGCGTCTCTATATCTCTAATTTTTATTATTTTGTGTATTTTTGATTACCTCTCACAAATATTACACAATTGTACTACTATTATTGAATTATGACTCGACACTTTCTTGTCAGGCACGCCGATAAAATTGTTATACTGACATCAAAGATATTCAATCAATTGTAATCAAGAAAATTTTACGGCTTTCTTCATTTCGATCTGAACATCTCTAGTCTTCTCCATCAATGGCATGAACTACCATAATTCACATAACATCCTTTATCTACAATACTGCCGATTTTTTTCTGTTTTTCGTCATAGACATTTCTATATGTACACGATGTAGACTGGAGTTGGCTAAACAGACAGAATATTTCCACATCGGTCGTTGTAGGATCAAATATTAAACCCGTAACAGTAAAAAAGCTACAAATATTGAGGTAAAACAGCATCAGGCGCTTCCACGTAGCTTTGATAGTAGAAGTCATTTACGAAGAAGTACCAACAAATCGTCAAATGTACGTCAATTAAGTGTAGATAACGTAGACAATCAGTAGTTGACACCCAATCAATAATTGACAACTTCAAACTCGAGCTCAAATATTAAGCAATATATGTATTATAAATTCCTATTATTTCTAAACACCTTGCTGCTGCCATGGAATTCAATATAGCGATTTTTGTTTGTGCTTGATGTTATGTCTCATACCTAAATTCAGAAATTTCTTGTGAAAAGTGTAAGAAGGTAACTTGAATATATGTTTAGGTTATTAGGTTATACTAGATCAGATAAAGCCTTATATTAGATGAATAATCAATAGTACTCAATTGGTTCTCGTTGGGTTCTTTTGGGTCAGAAAAGATCTAGAGAAGATGGGAGTGCGACAATGGGAATTACTGGCACAGGACCGACAAACATGGAAGGCAATAGTAAACGCGGCAAAGACTCACGAAGAGTTGTAGCGCCATTGATGATGATGATGATGACTCAATTGGTAGATTAATAAGGTATTATTTACTGTTATATTTTGATTCATTGAAGGTCCATTTTCCAAGAACACATGTAAGTCAACTACTGATTAAAACACTAAATCTAATCAGTCGTTGACTTAATTGGACCTGTTTTTAAAGCGAAATCAATAGTTGACACAAAGCGTTGTCACACATAGTTGATAATTAGGATCTATTTTCTTCTTTATAGCATGGCTCCACCACGAGGAAAAATGTTTAATTAGTTATGATAAAGCCCAAATGAAGAGGGTTCTTTTTGACGTTTCACAAGGGCTATCTCCAGCTACTGCCGCTAGGCAAAATGGTGTACCTCGAGTTACTCTACTGTAAAAAGCCAAGGGAAAACCCCAACACATCGGCGTATGGATCCTGAGAGGCTCTTTCTATGGAAGAGGAAAACAATCTTGTAAGATGGATTAAAATGTAGCTCAAATTATCCAAGACTACCTCAACCTGCAATAAATGGCTCAGGTGATAGGGTCAAATATGAGTTTATTACAACAATAAATGTTGTTGCTTAAATTTGTAAAATAAACAATATATCCACCTAATATTGACTTAGCTAACTTACTTACTCCTTACTCCGTGGCGTTAAAACCTTCGTGGGTTTTAGCCATCGCAACATGCCTCCACCGTTTTCTGTTTGAGCAACCTCTCCATCCAATTCTCCACGCCCATAGTGATTAGGTCTCTGCTAAATTATCTCGTCACCGGAGACGGGGCAGTCGCGTGGTCACCTTCCAGTTGGACTTCCTGCACACCTGTCTTACTGTTCGTTCGGTCAGAATGTCTTTCTGAGGTGTCTGCATTGGAGTCTTCTGGACTTTATTTCTTTTATGATGTTGGCGTCTGGGTATAGATCTTCAAGCGTCTTTATTAAGTTCTTATCCTATATTGTCCCTGATGCTTCATCAAGCACCGGGACCAATGACTCTTCCTTAGATTTTTCTTCCCAAACAGTAGTCTCTCTTCCATTTGCCTTTGTCATCGTTACACGCGTTTCGCGTCCTACATCATCCAACGGAGTCGTTTATGATGATTGTTTTATAGACCTGGTATCTTCGTACGTCGTGTTAGTTGTTTTTGATTTTTATAGGTTTTGGAGGGCATAAATACATCTGTTTGCCGGCCTGAATCCTGCCTGTTGTTTATTTCTATGTGATCCGTTATTGTATTCAGTTATTGATGTTCCACGATACTTGAAATTCCCTAACGCGCCTCCAAAGTTAAGTCATCGATGGGTATCGTTCTGACGATTACTGTCTTCTGCTTTGGTTATTGCGGCTCATATTACATATATGTGTTCTTGTTTTCGTTGATCTTGGAGCCCACATCTTCTCTGCTTCCTTATCAAACTCTTACGAAGTCTTCTCGTCATCTTAATCGCCGTGGTTTCTATTAGATCTATATTCGTCTGCAAATGCCAGTAGTAATGTTTGGTTTCCTTCTCGATGAAATACTGTTATTCGGTTTTTCGATTTTGCACTTCTGTTATGTGCTCCAGAGCACTAATCACTAAGTGGTGAAGAGTTGTGGTGTGAAAGTGCATCTCCTGTTTTAGTCCATTGTTTATTTCAAATGTCTCCGAGTATTGTTTCCACTCTCACCTTACATCGTAACGTCTCCATCACACTTCCGTATCAACGGATTGTTTTTGTGGAAGCCAATTGTTCCTGCATCGCTGTCACAGTTCGTCCTTACATACTTTTTGCAAATGCTTGTTTAAAATCTATGAACATTGATGAAGCTCTCACGATCAACGCCCACATTTTCATTATCTGTTTTATTGTGAATATCTGGTCAATTGTTAGAGCGGCCGGTCTACAATCACGCATTGATAATCTCCAACGATTATTTCTGTGTATGTTTTGGTTCTTTCTAGAGGTTGTTTGCAAGGAATTTGTAGGTTGGTGTTTAGGAGTGTTTTCCCTGTAGTTAATACCATTGCTTTTTGTTTTCCTTTTTTGGGTATTAGTACCAAATAACCCTTCTTTTTTCCCATCATATGGCATCGTTTCTTTCTGGCCAATATGTCTGAATTAGTTGTATACTCGAACTGTACAACGCTTCTCTACATGTTTTAAGCTCTTCTGCGGGTATACCATCCGCTACTCGTGTCTTATTATTTTTGAGTTTTTTAATTGTGTATTACTTCTTGTATGTAGGGTATTGGTCTTCTATTCAGCTGTATGTACCTCTATGTTTGATGTACATTTGCTAGATTGTCATTCATAGTCGATGAAAGTATTCCTTCTCCGGTTTTTAAGATTTTCCGTGTCATCAAGTGATAAGCTGTCCATCCATGTCGTTGTGAAGAAAGTTTCGTTCTGGCTTGGTACCGGTCTTGATATCTGAAAACTCCTTTAAAGAAATGCTAGCTTGTTTGTTCTTTCTTTTTTCTTTCTATATCCTCTTGATTATTTGTCCTGATACTATCTCCTTCTTTCCGTTTAAATTAGTTTCTTGTCTTGTTCTTCTTTGTCTATACTAGCTAATTGTTCATAAACAGTATTTTGAATAGTGTCAACACTGAAGAGTGTCAAAGACCGATTTTTGTTTTTTTTTGTTAGTGTCAACTATTAATTTTTTTATAACTTTCAAATTATTTTCAATAAAAAATTTCTATATAATATTTAAGATGGTTTCATTTGCAGATATTGTTTCTTAAGGTCGAAAACATTAAAGATAATTTTTTGAACATAATATTACTATAAATAAACATAAAATTTTATGCTGTAATGCTGATTAACAGTGTCAATTACCAATTATTTATAAAATGCCAAATTGGTAAATCCAAATATCGACACGTGCTGGAACTAAAACAATTAATATTTCGGTACTACCGCGACATTTATAAATGCATCTTAACAACCCAAGTTTTTTGTACCTTTTTATGTTGATCAGTTTTTAATCAAAACTTCTGTCATGAGGATTCGTTCTTGTCCATCTTATTATTTGAAACTGAAAATCTGAATACGCTTATCGTTTTTTTGACCCTATTTGTCTCTTAACATTAGGATTTGTGGCATATCTTTTTAGTCACCTTAACAATTTGATCAAGAACCTTCAAGAAATAGAAGAAACTATTTTAACAGCTAAAGATAAAGTAAATGCATTCCAAGCAAAACTTCGTTTGTGGTCAACTTCTCTGCAAAACAAAATGTTTGTTTGAATGACAAGAAAACACGAATATCCAGAGCTGGCAAGGGAAGCTCTTAAATTATTAATGCAAATCGCCACTTCATATTGGTGTGAACTGACATTTTCGTAAATGTTAGACATTAAAACTAAAAAGAGAAATAGAAAGAAAGATTGCAACTAGAAAATGATCCGATTATTAACGTTTCAAAAAAAGCACCACGATTTGATTAACTTTTGAATAATAAACAAGCACATCTTTCCCACTAAATCGGTTTTTTTTTATGTAAGAACCTTAACTTTTTCTTTCAGCCTGCGAACCCCTGAGTAAGGCTTCGAAAAACACTGCTCTAATATAGAATTCCAAGTTTTCTATGTCACTGGTGTCATAAAAGTGGCGCCCTTTTCCTTTTTATTTAGTCCAATTTTTATTTATTTCCTTTTCAGTTAGTACTATTCTATTTCTTTTTACTTTAGTTCCGACTTCAGTATTCCCCGTAAAAATTTCTTGACTCACTTCCCAACGCTCGCCGTTGTGTCCTTCAAAACACCTGGGAACCGGTTTGCATAATGAGATTTTTAAACCTGGTATCCTTGGGTTTACTTAAATTCCAAACCAAAACTTCCCTTTGGTTAACTTTTACTTTACCCAAAACAGTACCCACTTCTAGGCCTTCTTTCTATCCATCCAAGTCTATTTTGCGTTATACGATAATAAATAATATTAACAGGCCACAAAAAATAGCTTTAGAATAATATAAAAGATTGGTAACTGGGAAAACGTACGCATAAATTCAAATAAAGAAGTTTGAATTAAGTACTACAATAATCATAAAATATAAACTTACCTTGAAGGTGACCTACTACTTGCACTGCCCGAAGGAGATGGTGATCTGGATCCGGACCTGGATTTCGTTTTCTTTTTTGAACTTTGGTCTAAAGTCCGCCTCTCATTATTCTCGGATGGTGTATTACTGTACCCTGTATCTGTCTGATTATTACCCGTGCTATTATATCTGTAAAATAAATTAAAAAGCTTTATTGCAACGAACATCCAATAGGTGTGGTGCACGTTTTGTTTGTATGTATAGTCCGAACATATACTAGAGACAGTTATAGGTAAGAATACCGCATATTTAGGGCATATATTACGAGAAGAACGATACAGTTAGTTTTCAGCAACTAGCACTAGATGGAAGGATAAAGGGTAAGATAGATCTAGGACGAAAAAAGTTGTCACGGCTGCGTAATATTCGCCAACAGACATTAATCCACTGTTATGAAATGCTTCGTAATACTTGCTAAGAATAGAATAATGTAATCCTGACTATCTAACATGTCACCTGACAATAAAATGTACGGTGGACGCCAACTCATAAATGAAAGGCACCTTGTGAAGTAGAAGAGACAATTTTTATAGCAATAATTTTACGACCTTTCATAAGCAAAAAAGAATGTTGTCTTTAGTCTTTCATATTAGGTCTATACTTTGATCATTGGTTACGTAGGCACATAGATACAGGATATTAGATCTTATAAACCAAGCAAAGAATACGTGGAAGCAATCTAAAACTTACCCATTAGCAATGATCAATTTATTTAAAAAAATGTTAATATGAATTTCAAAATTCTGATAAAGATTATATGGCGATCAAGGTAGAACTAACTAGTTAGATATACTTGATATGGAAGACATAAAAAAAAAACAATAAAAAAGTACCAGAAAATATCATCGCACGAACTGTTGCTGGTCTCTAGAATAACAGGTCTGGTAATACAGATGAAGACAGAAGTCGTAAAATATTGTTAAGCCAAGAGATAAAAGTAAATATGAATTTTATGTACCTTGACGAATCGTACCCCCAGGAATTGTTAACGGTAGTTCTCGAAGAATGCCTGGTGCTCTCCAAAGAGGCGGCTGCAGCAGAAGCTGAGGCGGAGCCGTAGGGTCCGTTTCTGTAGCTGCTCCCGGTCCGTTCCCTGCTCCTTCCCGTGCCGGTGACGGTAATACCACCACCTCCGGCCGCCACCGTCGACGATGTCGAAGATGAAGAGGATCTGCCGGCGGTAGTGGTGACGGCATCAACGTGGTACGAACCAGAGACGGGAGTAGCGGCCGGTGGTACGGTATTAGCGCTGGCCCGATTGCCGCCGTTTCGCCCGGCACCCCCGAACTCTGAGGCGGCATCGCCGCTGCCGCTCCCTCCGCCGCTAGATACGCTGCCGCTGCCGCCAGTCAGCCGCGTTGAAGACGATCTGTCATAGAAGCAACGGTCCGAAAACGCGGATGTACCGTGATCGTCGGTGGACCTGAAACAAGAAAAAGAAAAATATAACTTCCAGTATTTGAATAGGAAAAATTTTAAAAATTAAAGCATGGAATATCTCACGATATAATATCGCCCCAAAACAAATTAGCTTAAAAATTATAATAAGTATATATAATTAATTATATTATAATAATAAATATAAATATATTCATTAAACTGATAAGCGGGTCATACAAGTATTACATAATGCCAATTGGGGGAGGGGGGTGTTGTAAAATGTTACGGTGCATTACAGGCCCGGGAGGGGGTTTGGACAACGCATTAAGTAACATTGTTTTTATACTAAAATAAAAAAAAATATAGAATTAAAATCTGCCAATTTGGCAATCCTTTTTGCTTATGTTTATATTGTTATTTAGTTCTTTTTGTTTATGTCTTACGAAGAATACCATCCTTTTATTTTATTTTTGTTTTCAGTAATACACATTGCTGTAGTCAGTGTTGTTATTGTTCAGTATAGTATTGTTGTTATTGTACAGTGAATTCACACTGTAATGTCATTATATTTTTAAAATTTAAATATGTAGCATGTATAAAATTCCTTATAACCATCGAATATTCAAAGTATAAAATTTATCTGGTACGCTCCTGAGCTATATATAAATATTTCGTGTCTTTGTTTACATTTAAAATTCCAGTTACCACTGCGAAGTTAAATAATTCACATTTTGCGTTGTAAAAATTCTTCAAATTTCAACCCAAGCCATATTAAGGTTAAATCTCCCTTGCAGCGCGTCTTTGAACAGGATTTTGATTGGTCCGCTACGAAGATCGGTATCAGGGGTAAGACGCGAGAAGAAGCCGGGTACACAGACTGAAAAAGTCAAGGTTAGGTTTGGGAGAATCTTTGAATAGGAAAGACGCAGGCGACTGTCGGCGTTAAGAACCGGCAAATTTGTTCTAAAAAAGTGATGTATACTCAATGTAATGTGTCAGTTTTGAAAAAGTAATCACTGTTTCTATGTTTCTAAGTATCTAAGAGATTTGTGGCATTTACAACAACTTTGAAAGATACCCACATGTGTTCCAGTTTTTTAAGAAGCGGAGTTTTAAAGTTTGCGACCAGTGCCAATTTCCAGCCTCATTTTGTTTGTTCTAAGCCGTTTCCGAATATTTCCGCAGTTTGGAGGTGTATTTGTGTTTGCAGTGTAAGTCCAGTTCCTAACCCCAGAAATTTTAAAGAAATTTTAGTGAAATTCAGGTTTTTCTGAACTTAAAGGAAAAATAAATATTTTCTAATAATAATTGCTTTCATAACAGTTTTAGAAATTGTAATAATTAAAATTGTATATGTTAGGGTGTGACCTAGCTGTCATATTAATTGTTCTTAGTTTTAAAATTTAATATTGACATCTGACAGCTAGCTTTATTTTTTTGACATTTGGTAAATACCTAATCACAACAGATCTTGTTTTGCTTTGTTTTTTTTTTGTTTAGAAAAAGGTTAACCTCTATGCATAGTTTTACTTAGAAACTATGCATAGAGGTTAACCTATGCATAAATTCAATAGTTAAAACAAGGATGATTGGCATTATGTTAATACTAAAGAAAATCCTTCAGACCTCGCTTCCAGAAGAGTTGTACCGGAAAATCTAGCTAACCGTGAATTATGGTGGAAGGGGCCAATTTTTCTGCATGGTCGCAACGCTTGTAAAAAAAGTCAGAAAGAACGATAGGTCCTTTAATATCTCTTTTAGAAGTAGAATCATCATTGCGGTTAATTAAACTTGTACAATTGGAATCATTTGCAGAAAAAATATCTATTTTAAATTCTTTATCTATAAATTTGAAATCTTTATTTATATTTATTATCTATTTTGAAGGTACCCTTTAACGTGAGAGTTTGTTTAAAAATATTTTATTTCAAGATTATTCTAATAAATATTATATTCTATGTAAATTCTTAGCCTTAAGTTTTAATTTGCCTAGACCGAAAACAGTGTAAGCTCTGGACAAAGCCGTTACAATTTTATACAGGCAATAATTTTCAAATGTTGATATAAGAGCACAATAAAGAACGTGTGGAAAGATGTCGTCTGTTATTTTTTCACCCTATCGATCAATTATTTACGACCACAATTAAACAGCGACCAATCAATTTTAGTCAACAATTTAAACATAAAGTCAGAAAAGATGACATGTAAATGACATGTACTAAATGTAAATGACATTGTTATTTGTTTTTGGTTTCAGACAGAAACTGTTTCGGGGAATTGCATTAGTAGTTTTTTTTTTATTTTAGTACTACTTATGTATTTTTTCTTCTTTTATAACCACAAAAGGTCTGTTGTAAATAAAGTATAAAATAGTATCAGGTCATTTTTTTTAATTGCATCATGTATACATGAATTTAGTTTTTATTAAAAAAAAAAAATAAAAATTTTCAAAAGCGAATAATTCTTATAAGCGATCTATCTAACAAGCCTTTTCATATATTTACGGAAGAACATTTTTTAGAGGTCTATCTCAGATCTCTATGCATTCGGTAGACATTTTTGCTTTTTGAGAAATTTCTGTTTTATCCTCGTATATTCTACTCATGATGGCAACCATGAGGATTGAGTTGCATCTAATTTAATAAAAATAAGAGAAAGCGTGTATTGTGTTTCGAGAACCCACTGTATGATGAATGCTTTTTTGTAATTCGATTGAAATAATCACCACGATTTAGTAGGGAAATGAAAGGTTTCTTTTATATCGAGTCGTTCTTACGAAACAACCTTAATCAACTCGACAATGCAGCGTTACCAATACGCCCATTAATGAACAAAAAACAAGTCACAGTTTATTACGATATCGTCCGCAGACTTAGAAGGACATGGTGTTTTTTGAAAGGCAATACCGAGACAAAGATGAGAGGCTTTTTACATTTTATGATAAAAAAAGAAAAAAGACAATGTAAAGCATTTTCGATCGAAGATAGACCATGATTTAAACAATATGTATCAGTACCTTGAACAGTATTTTGCCACCTTTACCTGAAAAAATTTTGTAAAATTAGATAGATCGAAATTTCAGCAAAATTTTCAATTCAATTCAAACGAACGTAATCTCTGTAGAAAGTAACATTTAAAAACTTAAAAATGGTGATATATGAGCAATATAGAAGAACAATTAGAAAAGTGGTAGTGGTAACTTAAATATTCACATTAGTGCTAGATGAGATAGCAGGAAAATTTCAATGTTATATTCCGTTGTATAATCTACTTTTTGTAATCTAATCATTTGGTGGTCGTAGGAAATACTAAAAGAGAAATAGAGCAGACTGGAACCGTACACAAAACTTCTGTGAATAATCCTCTAATAAGAATGTAACTTTCGTTGGTAAATGATTTTGAATAGAAATAAATAAAGCAATTAATGTTATTCAATTAAAAAGAAAAAAGAACAACGAATACACTTTGCAGAAATGAGAATTCTTACATTGGTGAGTGGGGTAGGAAAGGAAAATTATTTAATGAACCTATCAGAGCAAATTTAGAAGTGACATCGATTGGTGCCAAAAAGGAAAAGAATAAAAGGAAAGACAGTTAAGGTTTGATTTCACGTATAGTGCCTGTATATTCGCTTATACGAATTTAACCCTAAAAGAAATCTTCGGAACGACAATTTACAGATGCTCTGAACGTTTTGGCTTCAGTGTGGACGCAATAGCGACATCTGATAATAAATCACGAAACTCGAAACCCAAAGATTTTTAATTGTCGAAACCAAATTCAGATTTTTTTAATAGAAAAGAATAATTTAAGATGGTTATACGACGTTCAACTACGCAATAATAACCATCCAATAAGAAGATCCACTGAGTACCAAGTTCCTGTGACGAGTAGACAACCAAAGAAGAGCTATTGGGAGACGGAAAGATAGAACATATGGAAAAACGGAATGATGATTATATAATATTTGTACGATAAAAGAAAAGAAAGGCCACCGCACACAGATTTTCAAAGAAGATAAAAATTTGTTGCATTCATGAGCCCCATCATATGACATCAGACGGAACGAAATAGGAAGCTATACATTACTACATTGATAAGTGCAGTAATGAATCTTTTCTTACGATTTCTTTCTCTTGCCAATATTTTTACTTAGTTATCTGTCATAGTTTGGAGTGTAACCCATCGTGACTGAATGTTCACTTAATGCACAGCCTTGTATTTTTTTCAGATTAATGTCACTCTTATGTAATATTAATCATCCCGACATGTTCCTGGATGTTTCTCCAATAAATACTCTGTTGCAGTTATTACAGGGTGGAGAGTACGTAACATTGGAGCTTTCTTAAATGTTTAAGGGTTGTTTTCAGTTTAGTGTGTAACTTTATACGGTCTGATCTTCTCACGAGTCAAATTAAACTTTTCCTTCAGTATAGGTTAGTATGTCTTGTTCTACTGCGAATCTTCTTTTTATCTTCTCATTTGTAATACGATCCAGTGTTCTTACTCTATAGCTTCTTCTTATGAACTCCATTTCGGTTGCTGTAATCTTGGACCTGCTTCGTTTATTTATTACACACTTCTGTAAGACATTACACTACGTACCAAGGTGTTCTCTTCTTTATATTTCTATTAAACCTATCTATCTCGTAATATAGGCTACTGATTATGTACTTTAGAAAGGAACTACAACGTTAAAGGTATTTCATTCTTCCGTATGATCAATGGACCCTTAAGGAGTGTTGCCATTTAAGGGGGTGCGTTTTTGGAAAAAGAGGTGAATCTGTCCCTATGGACTAAGGTGCATTTGGGTGAATTCTATGCAGTTTTAGTACATTAACATATACAGAACAGTTGTACAAAATTAAATTTTCGATCGAAATGTCACCTTTTAAAGTTTAAGTAATTTTTTTGACAAAAATTGATAGTGTGTTGGACATTTGGTTGAGATAACGGATGGTGTCGCTCCTGTTTTCAGGAAAGACGTTAAAAAGGATCATGGATGAAATGAATTAAGGATTTCACATCTGAGGAAAGCTTTGT